TTAAAAGGGAGAGTGTCAGAATAAGAGATTTGTATGCCTTACAAAAAACTTTCGACGTATTTAGACCAATGTATAATAAACATGCCCAGAAGGCATACAAAAATCTAAAATAAGGTACAAACATCAAGTAACAAATCAAAAACTATGTGGAATATAGTCAAAGAAATAAAAGACACAAAAAAAGATAATTCTATCAAAGAAATAAATGTTGGTGGCACAACTATAAGTGACCCAAGTCAAATAGCCAACCATTTCAATACTTTCTTTGAGAATTATAGAGCTATTCAAAAACAAAAAAATCCTCTGGTGTCAGTGGCATATCTACTATAGTTCTCAAAGAAGTCAAACACCTACTAGCAGAACCGATAGATAGGTCATGTTATAAATGAATCTCTGAACTCAGGAATCTTCCCAGAAATTTTCAAAACTGCAATAATATCTCCAATACTCAAGAAAAATGATTGTCATATCTTGGATAACTTTAGGCCAGTCACCCTCCTATCCTCAATCCCCAAGCTTTTTGAGTATGCAATGCTCAGTCGTTTTTTACCATGCTTAGACAAATTCAAAGTACACAGTAACTCACAATTTGGCTTTAGAAAAAAGAGATCAACTGTGGAGGTAATCCTGAACTTTTACTGCGAAATCATTGAAAATTTTGAAAATAAAAAGTACCTTGTAGGAGTTTTTTGTGACCTAAACAAAGCATTCCACTGTGTTGAGCACTGGAAAAATATGGTATTCATGGCATTCCATTCAACTGGTTTCAATCGTACTCAAAAAATAGAAAACAATATATCGAAATAAATAGTAATGTTAACCAAAACAAAAAAGTCATATCAGAAACCTCCACCATTGATATAGTGGTACCTCAAGGCTCCATACTTGGGCCTATACTATTTATTCTGTACACTAATGATTTACCATGCTACACTGGAGACCACAACGTCACATTGTATGCAGATGACACAAATTTTCTAATAACTGGTTCAGATTCCNTGTATTTTTTTGCATACATTCATTTTTTATTTGGTTTATTGTCGGAAAGATATATTTTCATACTCAAGAGATTCATTGCCAGTCATGGTTGATCTCAAATAATATCCATTTATAACGTCACCAATTTTTGAAGTACGAATGACGTTGACAAGAAACTCTGATAGGGACTCTACTCCTACACCCCATTCCTGAAGGCATAGTAGAGTAAAGTAGAGTTTTATTTAACCATGTAACCTATAAATACATACAGGGCTTTCTAACGCAAATTTGATCCCCCCTGTAAGTCTGAAACGGACTTGTAAATGAAAATTTCAAGGAATACGTCACTTTTTATTTTTAGGGGGACTGAATTCTGATATGTTATTTTTTTTCAATGGCATAAGGTGTCGTGTGATACATTATTTGAAAGGTCTTGTGTATCTCTATTACTTCTGTAACTTTTTTCGGAATTGGTTCATTCGTTATTGAGAAATTGAATGTTGAGCGTTTTATTCAAGAAAAACCAGAAAATTCGCTGTCGCTGAGGAAATCAACAAAAATAATATCAATCAACGAATAAAGTGTTCAAAATGACCTCCATCTAGTTCCATACAATAATACAGTCTACTTTCGAAAGCGTTCCTTACTTTATTGAAGATGTCCGGAGTCATAAAGCGGCATTCCCAAACAATTCTCTGTCGCAGGTCTTCTAGATTTGTAGAATTTATTTAATCAGCAGTAAACATTTTGAAATGGACGACACTGTTAGTTTTTTTGTACTGGTACTTTTTGTTGAATCTAGTTGTCGCAGAACAAAAAAGTATATAGTTGGCCACTGTCACCTTATCACAAATTATTATTCAGTCATCCTTTTTCACTGTGTTCCAACATGGTTTTTTCTACTGAAGAAGGAATGGAATTTGTTGCAACCTATTATCGAAAAAAAAAATGAATGTGCTAAAGCTGCTGCAAGAATTTATAATACGAGTCATCCAGACCACAACGTGAGCCATCAACACGTTAAACAGAAGACCTGCGCCCTAAATGAATTTTAAACATTTGGACATACAACAGATATTTATTTACAAAGTATTTCATATTTCTAATGTATGTTTTTTACAGATTTGGCTCAAATTCTTCATTCTCACTACGAAGAGGGAAAAAATAAAGCAAGTGATCAACGACACCCAACTATTCTGGAAAAAAGATCCGGAGAACAGCCAGAATCAACAACAACTGAAGTATCTTGCTAAATTCGAAAGGATATTTTTATCATACATAGGTTGCAGTACTTGCATGTTTTTGTTCAAACCCCTATTGGTGGAAGGGACAACTATCTACTACTATTATAGAATACCGCAGATTCCATTTTCTGTATCGTATGCCATAGAATTTTATGTGACACTCGTAACTATGTCCATGGTTATAGCCGTCAACTTATTCATTGCGATCGTTATCGTACTAGGAGCCGGCCAATTCAGTAATTTGAATGCAAACATAAGACAACTTGACTGTAGTAAAGCCGAAGAAAATGAAGAAGCAATGAAAATCTGTATTTTGGAAATCAACGAAAACGTCATATATCACCAATTCCTCATTAGGTGCGATTGAGAAAATACGAATAGCATAAATTTTTCAAGTACAGTTTCAATATTTACGACCTTTGATACTTGTTTTTAGCATTGATTATTTCAACTAAAAAATGAGAAATGAAACTTTCTTTGTTTTCTACCACTTTCATTTGCAACCAACGTTACTACAGTTTCGTTCTACGAGGACATTTTTAAACTATTGCCACAAACTTGTTTATTGTAATAGTTTGAAAATGCAGTAACGTTAGTTACAAATAAAACTGGAAAAAAACATGGAAAGTTTCTTTTAACATTTTTTATCACGCTTCTATTAGCTTCATCTGTATGTGTGTCTGTCTGTCTGTTTGTTTGTTTGTTTGTTTGTAACTTTCCTTTTCATCTCAAATTTATTCCTGTTTGAATGCTCGGGATCTGTATTTGACAGAATTATCGAAATTATCGCTTGATCTATTCGCGAGCAGATGGCGCTGAAAGTAACCTCCTTGATATAATTCGAACTCACTTTACATGTATTTCTCCATTTGAAAAAAGGCCTGCTGCCTCATTTGTAATCCTCCTTTGCGCGCCTGCTGCCTTCTTTGGGCTTGGTAGCTGATTTTCAGGCCCCCTCTCCGGAATCGAAAAATATCAATGGTCATTTTCCTAAACAATATATGGCTGATTGATCCCAAAGTTTGGATAGAATAAATATTGTTCAAAAAGGCTTAAAAACACGCTTTCATAACATACGAAACTAAAACATGAGAAATAGGTAAAAACAATAAAAAAACACGTTGAAAATATTTTGTTTTTTAAATCAGCACAAGTATCCTGGTGCAAAATTTGAACCTTGATTTTTTGGTGTATGCTGGGACAAAATATATCCCGCTTTGTAATGAGCTTATACTTCGTGGTACGTCGGTTCATTTTCTTTCCCGCATCAAATAACTCACTCCTATTGGTCTTCGTCATCATCTGTTCAAGGCTGAATCACAGTAAACGAAGCGTTAGTTGTGAATAGCAAACAATCGAAACTCGTAGAGGACGTGTTTCTCCATTTGAATTTCGGTTGAAAAGCGTATCTATTTATTGTAATAACCCTTGTTGTATGAAATATAATAATTATATGTCTGAATTATTCAGACAAGATAGGTAAGCTACCTGTTTCATTATTTCAATTTATAAGTTTATTTTTCATTCATAATCTGTGAAAATAAACTCTGTGCAAAATTTGTCCCACCATACAACAACACATTTTCGTTCAGAAATGGCCAAAAGATTTTCAAAGGAACCCTTGCCACTCACGCTGATTGGGATGACAGAAGAGGAACTGTACAATGAAATAAACCTGGAAGTCGATGCTACGAAGGAATATGCAGATATACCTTCTGATATTAGGTCTGAAAATGATAGTGATGGGGATAATGACTGCGAAATTACCAATGCAGAAGCTGAATTCAATTTTGATGATGATAACATAATGCTGTCGGATAAAGAAGATGATACACCGTTACCCATGGATACATGCGACCCAGAAGATTTACTACCCCTATCACAGTTGAAGGCAATGGGAAAGATACAATGGTGCAAAATGCATAAGATCACTCCACCAGAAGATTTCAAAGAACCTTTCGGTGTTGCTCAAGATATCAAGGATTCGAGTAATCCATCACCTTATACTATTTTCTGTTAGTTTATCTCGGATGAAGTATTGAATAATATAGTTTTCCAGACTAATTTATATGCTGAGCAGAATTATCAGAAAACTGGGAAACCATATAAACTGACAGACATACCTGAAATGAAAACATTATTTGGGAATAAATTTGTTGATGGGCATGAAAAAGTTACCATCGTACAGAGATCACTGGAGTCAAAATCAGGACTTTCATGACACTTATGAAAGTAAATTGATGACTGTTCACCGGTTTGGATGGATGTTGAGTAATATTCATCTGAATGACAACACTAGAATGCCTGAAAGAAATACCAACCAATTTGATAAACTGTATAAAATACGCCCTTTCATAAAAATTATCAGAGGTAATTTCAGATGCATTTACCCACATGAACATATAGCAATAGATGAGTCAATGATTAAATTTAAAGGTCCATCTTCTCTGAAGCAATATCTTCCAAAAAAACTTTTCAAAAGGGGATATAAAGTCTGAATGATTTGTGATGAAACAGGATATTGTACGGACTTTGAAATCTACACAGACAAAGTAGCTGGAGAAGTGGAAAAGGCTTTGGGTTCTAGGGCTGTGAAAAGATTATTTATCTTCAATGATTGAAGGTAAATCTCACAGACTATACTTTGACAATTTTTTTTCGAGTGTTAGTCTGATGAAAGATTTAGTAGATAATCATATATATGCGTGTGGTACTGTCAATACTAATAGAAAACATTTACCAATTTTCGCACCAGATAGAACCATGAAAAGAGGTGATTATGAATGGTTTTGCAGTAACACGGGAGTTTGTGCTTATAAATGGCGAGACAAAAGAGCAGTCCATCTCCTCTCGAATTTTCACAGCCCTCATTACTTTACTGAAGTGAGACGAAAAGGAGGTGATGGAAGCATCACAAAGATACCGTGCCCTGCTATTTTTGTAGATTATAATAAATACATGAATGCAGTTGATAAATTTGATCGCGGGCGCCTCGCGGCAGGCCCAGCACCGTGTGTCAGGAACCTCTATACCCATCACGCGACTGCGGTAGACTAAGGTGTTGGAGACACCATCCTGGCATGCCATGATGAACCCTTCAGTTTCCGACTTCAGCCCACTAGACCTGAGAGTATTAATATAGAGAGAGTATTATTGTTACTATTATTATTATAAATCATAACTCCTACACGAAGTAAACCACTTGACATTATTCATATAAAAGACCTTTGAGGCAGATGGACAGAAACGTTGTGCATGCTCAAAAAAAGACAGTGAAAACCGGGTTGGTATACGGTGGTCAGATGGAACTTGTAGTACCAAAAGTTCTGCTACTGCTGCAGACTGCGAGAACGAAGGTTATACTTCAAATTCCGATAGTTTATAATTGAGATATAACTCAGATGATTTTGGCCTATTTAATTTGTGTCACATATCACGATCCAACTATTATTATTGAAGATGATGAATTCAATATTCCCGCCCCTTTCATTTCATATGCCCACACGTGACGATCCACCTATCAACACCGAAGATACGGCTCAATACTTTGTTTTTCATTGTGTCATATATAACTTAGCGCTTTTTGACATGCCACAATATTGTTTTTTTTGTCACTTAATTCATCATGTCTTCATGTCTGTTACTTCCGATGCCGCCGTGCTCATGGAAATGTGGACACAATTTTCCTAGGTGTGCCAGCTTCGCCAAAAAAAATTAACATGTCAAACGCGCCAGTTTCAAATTCAAATCCGAGCATCACCATATTTTCCCTACTATGTCACAAAATTCATACTAAGACAAAATCAAACCTATCCGCTGACTCAGGTGTACCACCACAATGTCCAGTTTTCATTAATTTCCACAATAACATATTGGTGTTGAGACTAAGGTCAAGGCCTAGTCGCCAACGATATGAATTCAATGCGTATCCGAATATTTTTTCAAATGTATCTAAAGGAGCCCTAAGGAAGCTTCGAAGGGTGGAGTCTCGTTTCAAGTAAAGGATTCTCTACTTGTAGGAAACTCTAGAATAGTAAGGAACGGTTGTTTCCTGTACCAGTTTGATACCAATTTACGAGCTGGTATAATAATTGAATACCAATTGGCTCACTTGAGGTACTTGGGAAATCAGAAGGTCAATGTGATTTTTGCAAAAAGATCTATCAACCATTATAAAAGAAGTACATTGAAAATCGTGCAAGAATATATTGTTTCCGGTAAATGGCGCAACATCAAATTTTGCCCAGCGAACAATTCTCAACAAATATCTGTAAAAAAATTAATGAAAAGGGGTACAAGAATCGCTTGGCCACCGCAGTCTCCAGATATGAACTTCCCCAATTCTTCTTCGAAGCTATATGAACAAGAGTACTTATGATCAAGAGTATAATAATTTCCGTTTATAGACAGGTAAGAAACTAGTTTTGAGTTGCTAATAATAGAACCTAATAAGTCTTCATTGCTCATGAACAGGCATGCAAAAAGGAAACCCATACAAGTTCAAACATACCACAAGACCGGAATGATTTTGGAACAATAATTGGCCAAAGTAAGCCTAAACTATTGATAACAACTTCATTTTCATACTAAAGAAGCGAACTGACCTACCGAAAATTTTCAAACAAATAAGACCTGCAGGAAATATAGTATTTTTCACCAGAAGGGGCATCTTTGTTGACAGTGTGGTTTGAATTACAAACCATTGAACTTCTGAAAATTCCCAGAAGCAGAAATGTAAGAAAGATTATCTGAAACCGTGAAAGAACGTATATGAACAGAGATTGACATTCGCAAATCAGAAATACCGGATTCATCTTTGAATAGTTGAATTTTTGGGTAATTTCTTATTGAAATTCTTTTGATTTTCCCATAATCATTGAAATAGACCATAGAATGGAGAAATTGATCATTCAAAAATCATTTATTTTTTCCCCGGTATAAGAACCAGTTATATATTGTTGTATATGATATATAAGTGAAAGAAAAACTGGTTAACAGAAGCTTTTGTAACTGATGCCTTGATGTATTCCAATACAGATTTTTCGCTAAAACTTTTTCTTTCTTTTTCAGGTATGTGAGACGACTGGATGATATATTTTCCATGATGTTCGTAGTTCTAATCGGGATAATAACTGCATTGCTCTGTATGAATATGTATGTCCTATCCCTGCCGTGAGTATAATCATTTCTTAGAAAACCTAGTTCAATAGCAATTGAACATATTGAAAAAGTTCACATAATATATGGGTTGAAAGGAAACTGATCAAAATTGATTCATTTTCTCAAAGGGAAAGTATTATTGATCATAGTACTCAAAAATAAAAAAAAAAAGCAATCATTTTTTATTGTCAAATTGCACTATGTCAAAAAATATTCAGAAAATCCTCGAACTATTATTTTAGTATATTTTCAGCAAAAGGTTTCACATACTTCACCAATTACCAGTTGTAACCACTGGAAACATTATAAATCACAAATGCAGCATGTATCAGTTATGCGTGAGTAGACAATAGCTGTTTTCTTACTCGAAATGAAAGTTTTTTCAGTGTCACTATTGTTTGCGTTTGAAGGCCGTCAATTTTTGATCTCCGATGATTGGATAGTACAGCTGCGTAAGCCGTATTTATATTGACCCATGTAGTTTGCTTGCTAATACCTGTACCTGGATTAGGTAAATTGTCAATAACATTCCTGCCATCATGCTGTTTGCTATTCTTGAACCTCTCAGACTGGGATTTCATATTCGGTTGAGGGTCACAGCTTCTTCTTTTCTGTAGAAATTATCTGTGTGTTTTCAACAGAATCCTTTAGTGAGTGCGTGTTCCGCCACAGCCGACTTTTCCGTTAAGCCTAGTCTGCAGTTTCATTCATGCTCCTTATGCCTAGTTCTCATGGATCTTTTGGTGATTACGATGTATACTTTTCCACAAGTGCACGATATGCGATAGTGAGTCTCTTATGTCTTCAGCCGACCTGAGGCTTTGTTGTAACTTCTTGGTAGGTTTGGAAACCGTTTTAATGTTGTGTTCCCCCAAGAGTTTTCCAATTCTGTCTGTGACCCTAGGGATATAAGGTAAATACTCACGTGCAACCATCTGATCCTTCTTTCAGTTTTAATCCGTGGAACTCTTCAGTTTCATGGCCTTGTTGATCTCGAGTACCCTGTATCTCAAACTCAAAGTCACTTGAGGACGTTCCGGTTCTTTCTCGAATTTGCAATATATTTCTTCAACGTTGTGTTCTCGTTCTCACTGAACGCTTTACGGCAACTGCTCACCACACTTCTTATAAAACTCTAACTCATACCCCAACTCCGTCGCCGAAATCAATCCCAAGAACGAACCCCATGTTCAAGGTCATAACTCTAGGTCATATGAAATCTTCGGCGACCAATTCAGGGTCACATAGCTCAAGGTCGTGTGACGTCATTCGAAAACATGTTGCATCATGTCACATGGGGAGTCGTATCTCAAAATCAAATTCCGTATTTGAGGTCAAACATCACGTTCAAGGTCATATTGCATGCACATAATACAAGTTCATGGAACGTCATTCAGGGTAGAACCTCAAGATCACGTTCCGATACGTAGTTGAATCTCGAGGTCGGACTCCACGTTTGAGGTCATCTGGTGTGCATTTACATCAAGGTCATGTGATTCCTTACATCAAACCTCAAGGTCACGTGTCTAGGACATAATCAAATTTCGAAGTCAAACACCATGTTTGAGATCGTATGACATTGTACATCGCATAAGGCCACGTGACGTCAGTTAAGGTCGAAAGTGGTAGGGGAAGGATGTAGAACAGGTAAGAGCTCCCCACTTGTGGACTGGATTAATTCAGGGGATACGTTATTTCGTTACGGTTGGAGTGAGACCGAAGTCAGCCAAGTCAACAACACCACATGATGGCACCGGAACGAACCATCAATGGGGTGACGGACCTTAATAGAAAGGTCTCCCAAAAATACGGGGTTGAAGGTATTTCCAAGCACTGTAAAACAATAGAGAATAGTAACAGAACAGTAATAGATTCCAGCGATCCATTCAGTATACATATGTGTGGATCTACACATACTTTTTCGTATGAAAATGAAGAAGTAGAAATCCAAAAGTTTGTTTGGAACTCTGTTTGGAATCTTTGGTGTAGTAATGAATATTATTGAAGTTCTATCCCAACACCAAACCGTTATTTTTAACACCTCGACACGTGTTTCAATCACCAGGTGATCATCTTCAAGAGGAAGATTAAACTCGTCCTCTTGATAAAACTTACACAGCAATCATCAAAGTGTTCATTCTGAAATACGGCAGTCGAAGACATTGAAATCAACACCGAGGATAAAATTATTGATATTATTTTTTTTTTGACAGATTCATGACCAGATAACAGGTCAATCTAAAGTGATGGGTTCTATCGTCGTTGCAGATGTAACATATTTTGAATTCCTTGCCAATGTATTTTATGACTCCGTATACTAGTACTAGTAATAAAAGATCGGTGAACAATCACGTGAACAGAATTGATCATGTATTACCAGAAAGTCACTAGATGCGGGACGTTTATGAGAATAAACTAAAAAAAAAAATATCGTTAGCGAATCAGTACTTGGACATTATGATAAAAATCGAACTTTATTTTGACGTGTGATGCAAGATGCAAGCCCATATGGAGTCGGTTGCGTGCTCAGTCAGCCTAATGGTGAAGATATATAAACTCCAGTCGTTGAAACCCCAGTGGTAGAAACCCCATAGTAGAATACATTTTTATTTTAAAGCCTCATTTTCAAACCAGGTGAATTCTCACATCGAGAGAAAAATTGGATGTCTCTCTCGTTTTCCAAAGTGAAATAGAGAGGGACATCAGATTTTTCTGTCGATGTGAGAGTTGCCCTAATTTGAAAATGAATTCCGTGAAGGAAATTCCGATGATCTGACAGTATTCAAAATTATCGTTGGGGTAGATAAACATCAAAAGAACATTTGTGAGAGACATTTAATCTTATTGCCGTTCATAAACTTCTACTAGGTAGGAGTCTTCTAATCAGATGAAAGAATTCCAGAAATTGTGTCAATGTCAATTGTGACAAGTTTGTTGAACGCTCATGACTATGGTTGAATATACTGTTCATGAAAAAGTATTGCTAATGCATATGACCTCAGCAGATGAATGCTCCAGAAGTACTAATATGCGAGGATATCTTAGTGTTAGAATGATTTTTGGTCGAAGTTTTCGAAAATGAGGCAAAAAAGTACCAAATTTTGTCCCGAGTCCCACAATATATATGGAAAGTTGGAAAATGAATGCAAAAAAATTATCGTATTTGTAACGAAAAGACGAGATAACTTATCGTGTTGCTGTGGTGCATACAAGTAAAAATTGCTTCAGGAAACAGAAACTCTTCCCTAAAAATATTGCACTTCAAAACGCTGGAAACAGTCAAAATGAATGATTCGCCGCAATACTGAGTACGATGGCTAAACTTAGGAAACGAAAATGAATATTCAGTGAGACTGATTAATACAGTTTATCATATGATTTTCACTAAGGAAAGTTCTACAAAAACCGCGACACGTGTTTTGCTATTCAATAGCTATCTCAAGCATAAACTATAAGTCACTTCTAAATTACAACTATTTTATACTTTAACACTTGTATGCCTAATTCTAATGAATGAATCTACCTGAAAAGACCGGGTATGAATTCATTAACTATATGAATAAATTAATTTTTCGAAAGTACCGTGAATATACTTACATTTTCTTACCTGGAAATGAACTGATTCAATGATGGCGAATTAATCAGTTCAGTTTGAACAATCACAAGATATTGAGAGTTTTTGACTTTGTTTATTTCCATACTCTCCAACAGGTTGAGTTTCAAACCTTTCTTCTGGAAATGGAGGAGCTTGAATTCATGTTTGAACTCATGTCCCTCTGTGATTACATGAGTGGTATATACGGAATTTATTTTTCAATTCCGGAAAATATTTCTGTGTTCCTTTATGCGGGCTTTGAACGTTCTTCCAGTTTGACCTATATAAAACATGGGACATGTTATTGTCCAGTCCTTAAAATTCATAGTGACATCCTTTACCATCTCCATGGTGAATGTGATAGAAGGATGAAGAGAATGGATGAAATTCAAGAACTTAGTCAACTGTCTGTTCTTTCCTGAGTTGACTAAGTTCTTGAATTCCATCTATTCTCTCCACCCTTCTCTCACAGTCACCATTGAGATGGAAAAAGACGAATCTCTGTTAACAAAAGGTACCAACAAATATGATTTTTCAATTTATCGTAAACCAGCACATACGGATATCATCATTCATAATTCTTCCACCCACCCATATCAGCACAAAGTAGCAGCATTCAACAGTATGATCCACAGACTGATGAATGTTCCCTTGTCAGAGGCGAATTTCAATAAAGAACTGAACATAATGAAATAAATTGCCGTCTACAATGATTACGAAAGCAGGCCAATACATTATATGTCATCAAAAAGTTATACAGTCAAGCTTTGAAGGAAGTCTACCCAAATCGAATTAATGAGGATAAAAGTTAAAGAACCTTTACCTACTTAGACCAACCCACTACAAATTGTTTCAATGTCAATTGTGACAAGTTTGTTGAACGCTCATGACTATGGTTGAATATACTGTTCATGAAAAAGTATTGCTAATGCATATGACCTAAAAATGAATGGTCCAAAAGTACTAATATGCGAGGATATCCTAGTGTTAGATTGATTTTTGATCAAGGTTTTCGAAAATGAAGCAAAAAAGTACCAAATTTTATCCGGAGTCACGAGATATTGAGAGTTTTTGACTTTGTTTATTTCCATACTCTCCAACAGGTTGAGTTTCAAACCTTTCTTCTGGAATTGGAGGGGCTTGAATTGGGGCTTGAAACTCGTTTTTGAATTGGCCAGTAGTCAGCGATGAAACAATAATCTCATCAGTCACAACAATCTAAATTTTCAGGAAGTTGTTTGCTACTCATGATCCTTCCGACTCGTGTTTATCCTAAATTCGAAAATTATATTCAAAAAGATAGCAGGCAAGTATAATGTAGTCTCACAGCCTCACTGGAAAATAACCAACCGAAATTCTGATCAACATGAGGCTAAACATGCTGGTGAACAGGGTTATTCCAGATTTTTCCGAAAATATGACAAATGAACAGCTGAATTGATTGAACGCTCATGACTATGGTTGAATATACTGTTCATGAAAAAGTATTGCTAATGCATATGACCTCAGCAGATGAATGCTCCAGAAGTACTAATATGCGAGGATATCTTAGTGTTAGAATGATTTTTGGTCGAAGTTTTCGAAAATGAGGCAAAAAAGTACCAAATTTTGTCCCGAGTCCCACAATATATATGGANAGATGCAATCCAGCAGAATCAAAAGGATCATAACGCAGAAGAAAGAGTGATCAAAATGCCTGTAAGTCCCATGCAACGTCCACTTCAAAATCAGGAAGTCCCCTAAATATTTTCTAGACTACACTGTCTGAGTTCTACCCGGAAAGGGACGGGTGTCATTACCCAGATCACCTGAGAATATTGCCACGCGAAACACAGATAACATGATACCAGAGTTTTCTCAAAATTCAATTAGTCACAAAGACTTTACCCAGATATTTTCATTATTCAATTGGTTCATTGTACCAGCATTGTAATATTCAATGAAGGAGAAAACATATTTAGTACTACTGGAGTTTTTTCCCAATACCAAACCGTTATTTTGACACGTCGACACGTGTTTCGATCACTAAGTGATCTTCAAGAGAAAGATCAAACTCTTCCTCTTGAAGGTCATAGAAACACGTGTCGAGGTGTTGAAATAACCGTTTGTTGTTGGGAAAAAACTCTAGAAATATTCATTACTGCACCAAAGGTTACAAACAGTGCATCACAAGTACATTTGTTATCAGTAGTAGGTACCTACTACTACTATAAATGAAAAATTGATGCTTACAATTTTTTGACTTAGTTTCCTTTGAACTATTCTCATTTCCCTGGACTGAAATATTACTCAACCATTTCACTTTTATGATACAATATTCCAATTTCAGGCATACAACCGTAGTGGATATGATTCGTTGTGGAACTATGGTGTGTGCGTTCAATATCGAATTTTTATTACTATACGGTGTTCCTGCACAGAGACTGATGGATGAGGTGAGTTTCATTTCAGAACTTATCTCTAACCTCAACTGACTGATTTTGAATAACTGTGGAAGGGTGTATAAAAATGATCATTTTCAAGGCTGAAGAAGTGGCAAATTCTGCCTTTTATCACTGTGAGTGGTACCTTCCCAATATAATACCTGCGAGAAAAGCTCTAACCTACATGATACATCGAAGTCAAACATCGGTATGTTTATCAGCGATGGGATTTATTGACATCAACAGACAAACCATAGTGGCGGTAAGTATCAATTTTTTTTTGGAGCCCTTCTTCTTTTGGTTAATTTTGGTAACAGCTCAATATTTGAAAAATCATGTTTGTTGTTCATTCTACTAATGGTCAAGTCCAAGAGATTGATTCAAAAGTTTTAATTATGGAAAATCCCTTACTTGCGGATATTTTCATGAATAACCTAGATAAGTCATTTCTTGAACATCCCTGTTTAAGTATTTCTGTATTGGAATAGATATGTGGATGACTTTTTTGTATGTTCCACAGGTATAGTATTTTAAGTATTGTGCATACTTAAAATGTCGGCGACACTTCGCACTGGTATTGTGCATACTTAAAGTAAAGGCCAAAAAAACCAGTACAAAGAAATGAAGCCGCTGCCAAGTAGTCCACGTGGACTGAAGAATTAGCAGTTCGTATTGGATGATTTTTATCAACAGAGTTTTATGATTGGCTGAGGAGTCATAAAATTGAATTTTGAAGTCATGTTACGGTGACGAATAGAATG